TGCTGTATGTATAGAAAAAATTATCTTTTAGTATTAAAATGAAGTTTAATCGAAACATTCCACCAATTTTTCTTAATTTCATGACTACTGTATTCAACATATTTTCAAAACTATTGTCTACGATGTTAACAGCTGCATGAATACTTGAAACTTTGAAAATAATCTTTTTTTAATATAACAATTAATGTCCGATGGCCCATTGACTTGAAAAAATATTCTATACATATGAAATTGACAGAGGGCGGGGCTACCCGACTCTCCCCTACATGTATTTACAAGTAAGTAGTCACACACTGATGATTAGATCCGTTTTTCCCCCAAACATTTATCAAACGATCTATATAGTATTTTCTATAGCATATAAAAATTGAATTGAACTTATTCTTAAGACTAATAAAACAAGTTAATAGGTTTTTTTTAAAAATTGTTCTATTAATTAATGTGTTATTATCAAATGGCAATAAAATAATTTCTTATTTTTTCATATACCAAAATATTAAATTTTTCTTTAAATAAAATAAAATTAAAATCTACGATAGGCGTAACATCTATACACAAGAGAGTGTAAGAAGACTTGCTACTATGTATAGAAATTTATATAAAATATGTTAATACATAAATTTAGAAAAAAATATATGTTTAGTCTTATGTGCTTGTGTCCTTTAAGGTGTTTTACGTGTCTTTGTTTTTCCTCATTAGATCCGTTGTCAGATGTTGGGTTTCATATCCATTATCTTCGACCGTAGATTTGAGCAACATGGATGTTATAATTGGGTAATTATTTCAACATTTTAAAGTAAATTTTAATGCATTTAAATGAAGAAGAATTTAAGAGCAATGCACGTAACTGAAAATCAATTTTCTCTTTTTTTACAGAAATCTTTTTGGACGAGATTATTATGTGACCAATCAGAAGGTACTTTTTTATAATAAGAAATATTTAAACATATGGAGACAGAATTTATGCATATTTGTATCGATTTCACCTGTATTTAAGAGTACTTTACCAAAAAGTCATTAAAAGCTACTGTAAAATTTAATAAAATTATGGAATAGTTATATAGTTTCCTAAATTAAAATTAGGCTGTCTAATTTGTCTGCTACAAGTATCGTAATTTTTGTTTTACCTTAAATAATTTTATTAAATGTAATAATTTTATTATATAATAATTTTATTATTTTAATAATTGCAATAATTTTAATAATTAATAATTTTATTATTCATAATAAAATTAATGAAATAGTTATATAGTTTCCTAAATTAAATTTAGACTGCCTAATTTGCCTGCTACAAGTGTCGTAATTTTTGTTTAACCTCAAATAACTTTATTAAATGACAGAATTTAAAAAGATGTTTAGAAAGTGGCGATATTGATTTTAATGAAAATAGTTTAACAATTGAAAAATTTCAGCTTTTTTAAATGGATTTTTTAAATTTGATTAAAATTATCTTTCTTAATATTTTTGACCGATAACTACTAAAAAAACTAAATATTCTAGTTAAGGTCTCATATAAAATTGTAAAAATAAATAGGTTTGCAAAAATTACCAATATTGAAAACTATCTCTGTTAAAAAAAACTTTGGGCTGGGATCGCCTGGTTAACAGGGTATTGGAAACATGTTCAAGAGGTCATGAATTCGATCCACATCTACCGAAGACTCCCCGTGTAGTAAATGGTGGCTGGCGTATATTAAATCTGTCTGGTTACAGAGTCTTCCATGATCCCATCAGAAATTATACTTCTGGGGTTACTGAATTGGAGATTGAGCTTTCTCCTCAGGTCAAAATTATGAACTGTGTTTGAAAGAATGAGTCCACCCTATAAATGGGCAGTGACGTGTGTGTGACTGAATTCGGATTCCTGGTCATAGATGGCGCCACCGAGAAACAAGAAACGCACCCTCTGCTTTGAATTCGCTTGGTTTCACCTATCAAGCTTGTTGGTATATGGCAAGTAGCTTTAGAAACAACAACAGCAACAACAAAAACTTTACGTGCCCTATTACTCAAGCTTTCCTTAATTTTTACTCATCATAATATAAATTAATGAATTAGTTATATATTAATATTATTGATTAATAAAAGATAATTGAAAGATTTTCTTCTTGCTTTCACACAATAAAATTATTTATAAATAATAACATTCTTCAGAGAATGTTCAGACATAAGTTTACAAATCCCTATATTGGACCAATATATTCGTTTTTTTTCTTTTTATTTTTTACACTGCAAAAAATTCCTGATAAATTACAATAGAAAGTGCTGGCACCCAGAGTGTCGGTGTTGGTATTTTTTATTGTAAAGTCCATTTGTTGCAGTAAAATATTACGGAACAAAAAAAATTAGTATACCCTTAATTTTTACAGCAATAGTTACAGTAAAATTACTATATTTAAATAAATATTAATGCAAAAATTAAAGTTAAAAATTTTTCGACAAAAAATGGATTTTACGGATGCTGCACTCAGGGTGGTATAAAATGTTACCATAATTTGATCCGGAACTTTTTACAGTGGACTAGAATACAGAATTATTGGGCTAGAAAACTTGTGGTTGCTTGAAATTTTGTATTTAAACATTTTATGTCTCATAAATTAATTGTTTATGTTCAAAACTAACTTTAATTTTTCTTTTTGCAGGTGGAAGCAATTAATCGCAGTAGCTTTGATGTAGTGTTTTGGTTACTCATCGCTTTGGTTATTCTCATGATTTTAGCCATCTTAGCTCTATGCTTATATTGTTGCTGCGTCAGATCAACAGATGTGTAAGTAAATAACAAGTATTCTTATAACAAACAATATCTTCAATAATATAAACTATCGTTGGACGCATTTATAATTTTAAAAGTGGAACGCAAATTGGAACTAAAAACTAAAGCTAAACTTAATATGATATTAGGCTTTGTTTATTGTTGAAGAGATCATATCAGTTAAACACATATTTAAATCAATTTTTCCATTATTTTTTTATCATCCCATTAGAATTTATTTCTCTAATTGTTATAATTTTGATCATTTGAATATACTCTAGTCACTGATAAGGGAAATTAGTAGAATTTTTTTAATAAAAAAACAAATTTCAGAATTTCTTTCTCAAAAATTTGTAGTTTCTGTTATTGAAATCATAATTTGAATATACTCTACTGGCTAATAAGGAACATTAGCAGTATTTTTTGGATAAAAGAAGCGTGCTTGAGAATTTGGGATAGAAAAGGAACTCGAGGTATCAAAGCTTAATACTAGATTGCCTAAGGAAGTCATT